AGGACTTTTTAAAATATTTTAGCATAAAACCTGCTGTGTGGAGCATCACAAGATCGTGGGAAGACGTGTCTCCAGAATGTTAAAAACTGCTTGGTCTAATTTATGGCCAGCTACCATATTTCATGGTGAGGACGATGAAGATGATAGCCGCGGATTTTAAGGTTTCGGACATCGCAAACTAAAGGTGAAATTTTCCAGTTATTGGATTTTGTAAAGAAATGTGGAGAAGCAGTAATAAATGAAGATGTATCATCTTCATTTATTACTTATAGTTGCAACAACAATGCCCCAATCATCAATCAATTTTGGTTCTAGATTCAAAAAATACTGCTTCCGATAGTGAAGAAAGTGATAGGTTATTGAAAATGAAAAAATTTCGATTGACAAGTTAGTCGGCATTTCTTGGCACAGCAGTTACGGGACGTTGAACAGTGGAACTTTACAACTGAACAAGAAATTGAGTCTGTCTACAGAATTAAAGAGAAAAGTATTAGCATAAAAAATGAAGGAAACTTAAATAACTTAGGTTGAAATAAATGTTTAGTAAAGTAAATAAATATTAAAGCTTTTTTTTTTTTTTTAAATTTTGATACCCTTTAGATCATAATTGCTCTTTATTTCATAAATTACGGTTTCATATTTTTAATTGTATAATTTCTGCATGCCATCTTACCAGATTTAAATTGATGATCTATAATCTGGAAAAAATCCTAATCCGGAATCACCGAAGTCCCGAGTCCGGATTACGCACTTTGTACTGTACTACCATTTACTAGTCTATTCCTTTTCACGTCTCTTTTAACTGTTTTAGCATATGATTTAAAAATTCTTAATTTACTAATATGTTTTTTAACTTCATCCCTAATTCAGAAAATGAAATTTTGTGGGAATAATGAGTTCTTGGACTTTCTTCTGCAGGTGCTTTTGTTCATACATTTCACTTTTATTTATTTACTTTTTCAAAATCTAAGAGTGGCAATTTTTCTTTTTCTTTTATATAAGAAAAAGGATAAATAAAATAGAAATCATTAAGTGGTTTATTACTTAGTTTAAATTCTGAAAGAAAGTTAAAATTTAATCATGAAATAAAAATACGTATTGTATAATTTCTCTTTTTGTGAGTTTTTTTTTTTCAATTTATTGTAGCAAGCATTTACAAGTAATGAATATCTGCAAATTAAGTGGCTTTGCATAGTAAAAATGTTTTTTCATATATATATAATCAACAAATGGATAGAAATGCAAATAAAAAAGACAATAGACTAGAAGAGAAGCACGCTAATGGGACAATCAAAATCGTAAAAACAACCTTGTATTTAGCGTAGGTATAATGAAACACTCAATCGATTTCGAGGGCAGCTAAAGGTCCCTCCTCATCAGGAGAAAGAAATACCTAGAAAGAAGAAAATAAAGGTGAAGGAGTCACAGAAACACATGGTCCTTATCAGCACTGCACGTGGTTATAACTAGATTTTTAATCAGAGTTGCACTGGCCGCCTACTTTTACTGAGCCAGGCTATCTGATCGAGCGTGAAAAATTAGCGAAGTTAAAATAGGGAGCGAGGGGCAAATGCACCTTACGCTCAAAATCTGAACTTCAAATAATGGAAAGCAACCACTGAACGGATTTTTATACCCTCTGGAAGTACCAAACGCGAGGAGGTAACGCCATCTATCGGCAAAAATAACTGAATTAAGATAGTAAAATTTTAAAGGCATTAGGAAGGACTGGATTGGACTTAAAATCATTAACTAAACCTGCTAAATCTTTGTGAATGTGAAAAGCCTCAAGAAAATCCAATTCACCTATGGAAGAAGCCTTTTGGATAATTTTTGCAGATCCAAAATCAAAATTATGGTTAAAAGTCCAACTATGATATGCTATTGAAGACTTGTTAATTTCGCCTTTTCTGACATAAGATTCATGTTCCTTGATACGAAACTTCAACGCTCTTGTCGTTTGGCCGATATATCTTAAACCATACTGACACAATATACTATAAATTCCCAAAGAATTCAAGACAGAAACGCAATCTTTAGAATCGAAGGGTGAATTTATTAATAGGGGAGAAGAACCGACTTGAAAAATTGAATTCTGGAGAATCCGTGCAATTTTATAGCTAACAGAAGGATAAAATGGAAGCACGACAGGTCATTAATATTATTTCTAACAGTGGAATGGTCTTCTTTGATGGGAATCTGAAAAATTTTAACAGCTTTATCAATAATCACGGAGAAATCCATAGTCAATCGCAACTGCTCTCAAATAATTATTCATTGGTAAGCAAAGATTCAGAGGAACAAACTTTAAGCACGCGGAATACATAATAGTAGAAAGAAGCCATTTTTGCTTAACAGGGTGGCCATGACTTGGCATGGGTGGTAAACAAACTGCAAAGGTTTACGGTACCAGTGGTGCTAAAATCAGTTTCATTGCGGGATTATAGAATATCGAGGAAGGGGAGGGAATTGTTGGATTCAATTTCAAGAGTGAATTGGATGGCTGGATCAATTGAATTCATAATATATAGAATCTCGGATAAATCCTCTTTATAACCGTCAAAAAGTGCGAAAGTGTCGTCAACATACCGAATCCAAAGACGAAAAGAGAGTTTATTAAATAATTTCATCTCAAAATAGTGCATATAAATGTCAGCAAGTACCGGACTGAGAGGATTACCCATAGCCAATCCTCCAACTTGACGAAAATATGCATTTTGGAAAACAAAGTGGGTTTGACTCAGAGAAACTTTAGTAAGCGAAACCAACTCATTAATTTCAGTATGTGTGAAGTGAAATTCCCGAAGCCTAGTTTCAAGACAATTTAGTGCTCCTTCGACAAGAACATTAGTAAACAGTGATTGACATCAAATGAAAACCATAATGGAACGAAGTGGAGAAATTTTTTAAGTTTATCAATGACTTCAACAGAATTTTTTACAGTGGGAATATTGTTAGCAAGTAGAGGAGAAAATCTGGAAACTAAATATTTGGCCAAAGGATATGAAGCAGTACCTATGTTGGAAACAATTGGTCGAATTGTCGATATTCTCCTTAGTGACACTTTAATTGCGTTACCTTTTTTCCTTGGTGTGGCGAACAAAAGGAATGGCTTTTGTTTCTGTCATTCCTTGAAATAGTAAGCTGCATAATAATACATAAGACAGAGATCGGCTGAGCTACTTCTTAGCTTCTGAGTGGAATTGTAATTCCAGCCAGAGACCCAAATAAGACAAGGTCCAATAATATTTTATTTAATTATTTAAAAATTGATGTAATAATTTACTATATTTATTTTTTTTTCTTTGCATTTGTTTTAATTTAAATTTAATTATTCAATTATTTTAATTTTTTGTTATTTTATTAATTTTTCTTTTCTTCCTCACTGTATTCTATAGTGCTCCGACATTTCTAATTTTAGAAATTAAGCCCTAGATTAATGATGTATACCGAGATACCACTGTGTATAATTCAGTAATATTAACCAGTCTGTTCATGTACACTTTTTATTGTGCTAAATTCTCTTGCTGTTATAAATGGTACACACTACATAATTTTCTCTTTGATTTTTAAATGGCCATGTTATGTAATTTTATTTTATTTGTAGCATTTTCAAAATATGGCAGAAAAACAATAAAGTACCAATAAATAATTGCAAAGAACAACTGTTATAAGCATGCTGGGACGTCCTAAAAATTAAAGAGTGTGTCAAATGAATCTCTTTGAAAAGTAAACATGACTCTAGTTTGACAGTGTTGAAAGATTAAGTCATCTTTTAAGAGTAAAATAATTACTCATAGCTAATACCAAGCTAAAATTATAGCTTGTTTTAATGCAATATAAGTTTTAAGAAATTACTGTAAAATGCCTTAGGAATTTCCTCCAAAAGTAAGACCCGGCAACAAGACTTAACATATATAATAAACATATTATTAGAATTACAAGCAGTATTGGGTTCAGTGTCTAGCTTTTTTAGTTTCTCTAAAGCAGCTATATGACTGGCTTTCCTGTACTCATTAGTAGAGGTAAGGGAATTACATAAACAAATCCAAGTTCAAACATTGGGAGGGAAAGGGAGAGGATAACAGCAATACTTCCAAATAAGTCCCTCCAAATAAGTCCAACTTCAAAATGAAGGGAGAAAAGTTTATAAAATTATTATTTACAGTACAAAGTCTGTAATCTGGATGTCTATTATCCAGAATGATCTATAATCCAGATGTCAAAGCGACAAACTTTTTTTTTTTTTAGTATGCTTTACCCATCTGTGTAATGGGGATACATTAAAAAATGCTTGGCATAATTTATGGCCAGCTACCATATTTCATGGTGAGGACAATGAAGATGATAGCCGCGAATCTGAAGGTTTCGGACATCGCAAACTAAAGGTTAAATTTTCCAGTTATTGGATTTTGAAAAGATATGTGGAGAAGCAGTAATAAATGAAGATGATATAACAGAAGTTTTTCATTGTGATGACAATGCCCCAATCATCAATCAATTAACGGATGGCGAAATCTGTAGTATGGTTCTAGATCTAGAAAATACCGCTTCCGATAGTGAAGAAAGTGATAGAGAGGTTATTGAAAATGAAAAAATTTGGATTGACAAGTTAGTCGGTATTCTTGACACAGCAATTACAGGACTTGAATAGTGGAACTTTGTAACTGAACAAGAAATTGAGTCTGTTTATAGAATAAGAGAAAAAGTATTAGCACAAAAAACAAAGCAACTTAAACAACTTACATTGAAATAAATGTTTAACAAAGTAAACAAATAAACAAAGCTTTTTTTTTTTTTTTTTGTAATTTTGATGCTCTTTAGATCATAATTGCTCTTTATTTCATAAATTACAGTTTCATATTTTTAATTGTATAATTTCTGCATGCCATCTTACCAGATTTAAATTGATGATCTATAATTCGGAAGTCCCGACGAGTCCGGATTACAGACTTTGTACTGTATTACATTATTTTATTTGTTGTATTTATTTATTTTAGAATGGGAGCCACCTGTTTTGTTCAACCTCTTGATCTTATCAAAAATCGGATGCAGCTGAGTGGTAAGTAATTCATAGTCACTAATAATAAGTAAAATAATGTTAGTAATCATAATTTAAAAATTTTAATTTCATTTTGTATCTGAGGATTGTGTAAAGATATATTTTATGTTAACCTGCTTTGCTGAATTGATACTGAATACATAAATTTTTTTTAATATTATATTTGTGAGTTTCATATATGTTATATTGTACTAAACCTCTAATTTATTAATTTATTTTGTTAGAATGCAGCTGCATTTCTTTTTCCTACATGCATGTAGTAATGAAGTTAATTCTTTAAAATTTAAAAGTTAATTAGAAGAAATTATAAGCATCTGACTGTATGGCAGATTGACTGGCTAATTTCAGTACCATTATGTCTTGCCTGATTTCATTGCAATTTGCATTAGCTTTACTATAGTTGTTAGCAGATAACCCTCAAGAGCTTAATTATTAATGTAACTGCATCTCTGTTAAAACAAAATATCAGTAGCTTTTTCATAAATATTGTTTAACAAACAAACTTAACTGTTTAATATATAGAAATATCCTTAATATATGCTCCATATCCAAGACTAGATGTTTTGATATTTTGTAGATGTGATGGGTTGCATTCCTGGAGGAGTTCAAAACTGTTATTAGCTGTATTTCTACAGATAGCGATCGCTTTCAGAAGATCACTGGTCACTATTATTTTAGGGAACCATTTCACTATATGTGAATTCTTATTAAGTAAAGTGAAATTCAGTGTAAAATTGGGCTGCTGGGGTCAATTGACAAAATGAATAAAACATTAATTCAGACTGTTATACTTGCCCAAATTGTGAAAAATAAAGTGTGTTAACTTTTGTATATTTTAGGTGAAGGTGGTAAAGCGAAAGAACATAAAACTAGCCTGCATGCAATTAAAAGTGTTATTAAGAATGAAGGAATCTCTGGGCTGTATGTTGGGTAAGGTTTTATCAAATGTTTTTAAGACATTAATAGAGAATTAACAAAATCATAAACATTGTTGTATATTTATTCATTGGCTATATGCTGTGATATTTAAACCAGTTAAGCAAATAGTAAAAGTAATAACTAAAAATCATAAAATTTCCATGATAAAATCTGTTTAATATAAGAAATATTCATGTACTTTAAAGGAAATTTTTCTGGAGAGTGTTTTAATAATTATATCTAGAAAATATAATTTGATTTACTGATGTTCAGCCTTTTAAGAATGTGTATAATTTTTTATTTTTATTGGAAAGTTATAACAGAGTATAATTTTTATATCTCTGTAATTCCTTATTAGAACTTAATATATTAGTAACAATAACTGACTATACCTATCTCTTGATTTACACGGTACTGGTTTTATACAGTTTAAAAAATAACGGATTTAAAAAACATGGTAAAAATGTATGTTCGGCAGCATATGCGCAAACACATATACTATTTGAAGTAATTTTTGAATATCATTCCTTGGTAACACTGGTGGCAACCACAAGGGTGGGGATTTCCAGTGTTGTAAAAGGGGGATAAAATCAAATAACAAGAAAAGGTATTTCTTTAGAAACAAAAATTAAAATATTAGATCATCTACCTAATAGAGAAGTCTACATAATAGATATGAGCAATTTACAACACAAAAATGTGGAAGTTGTCTTTTTACCAAAAAATATTACAGCCATTAGATCAAGGAATAATTACGACTTTTAAGGCATTGTATATCAAACAAAATTTCAGGTATATTTTAGAACAAATGGAGAATGTTGAATCTCTTACTGTTGTGGATGCTTGGAAGAAATTTACAATCTTAGATTGTGTTAAGCATGTTGGACTGTCATATACTCAGATTAAATTATCAACACTGAACACATGCTGGAAAGCAATATGGCCGGATGCTGCTAAAGATGAGAATGACAAATTACCATTAGAGCATGAGTATTCTCAGATCACTAAATTGGCCCAAATTATAGGAGGAGAAGGTTTTGAGGATAAGCTTAGGCAGATGTTGACGAAATAATGGCTGATAAAGAACTAAACGAGGATGAGTTAGTTAACAAGATTCACGAAACAAACACAATGAAGACAATGATTCTGATGAAGAGCAATCTGAACCAGTTGTGTTCACAGCAAGAGTCATCACCATAAAAAATTGGGAAGAAAATTAGGTAATCATTTTTTTACAATATGACACAAATGTTGAACGAGCTCTCTAATTCCAGTGGGATCTTAGTAAGTGCTTAAATCAATATGAGGAGGTTTACAAAGATTTAGGGGGAAAATAAAAAAACATAGGCAGTTGTTAATTATGGATTTCACTACGAAGCCTTGTCGATCTGAGATCTTCCCTAATTTGTCAACCATTCAAGCAGAATCTTATCAAGAATGCTCAAGTGATGAAAGTAATATCATACCAATCAAGAAGAAAAGGCTAATAGTTCATGAAAGTGATGACACTGATTAAACTTGTAATAATTTTTCTCAATGATATTATATTTTCCTAATGTAAAATAAATTAAATATGTACTTCTATTACCTACATATATTTGTTATTTTATGAACAAAGTATAACTTTATTTATTTTACGATGTCCTACTTTTGTTTTCTGTAAATAAGTAACTTATGCATGCACATTTAGTGTTTTTTTTATTTTCCATAGTTTTACGTAGCAAAATCCAAGATTTCAATTTAGTAGATGGTTTTGTGCGGAACCTATCTTCCATGTAAATCGAGGGGTAAGTGTATAGTGCCACCGAGCTGATATAGTGGTTAGTGACCCTGACTGCCGTAGCGATGGGCCCGGGTTCGAATCCCATAGAAGGCATGGTCACTATGGGTCTGTCACTTCATATGAGGCAATGGTGGCCACCTATTAGGTGCTTCCATAATGAAATGGCCACTATTTCTGGCCCTTGTAGTGGTGCAAGGTTAATGGGTATTAAGTAAAGTACCCAACCATTAAAAAAAAAATGGATATAGTGTATTTTATCATATTGTTAAAAATAATGCAATTATGAAACAAAACCAAAAAAAGGTGTAAGCTTTTGTCAGATGCATTAGTTATGAAAATTAACTAATTTCAAGAATAAATCATGTGTAAGTGAGAATATTAAGCTTATGTAATTGATATCAAATTATAGCTGTCTCTCATTTTATATTCATCATGTTCAGTCATAAAATTGCATCATAATATATGTCATTAATAATCTACTTACATATATTATGATGCGTATTATTTAAAATGCAGATTTCAATCTGAATGATGAAAGTAAATCAATATTTCTTAATTAGGGTATTTTTTTGATTGAAATTATGGAATTTGTTGGGTAATCTGTATTCATTGACCCAAGTTTTTATTATTTGTCCAAAATAGATTTAGAAATTTAATATATCCCTTATTGTGTGACTATTTCATACTACTAGTATTATCTTTTATTTTCAAGTTTGATTAAAAAACTTTTAATTTTATTTCATTCCTTTAAAACACAGAATTTTTATCATTAGAGTTAATTTTATTTAAATCGTACGCTTTCTTTTTCTTTTCAGGCTATCAGCTGGTCTCCTAAGACAAGCATCATATACAACTGTTCGCATGGGTGTCTATTCAACTCTATTTGAAAAATTCTCGTAAGAAGATTACAATTTTTTTCTAGTAAAATTAATTGATATGTTTAAATTATGTTTCTCATTTATTTTGAAAAATATTATATTGTATATATTGGTTCTGCTAAAAAATTTTTCCTTCTTCTTTTTTCTTTACTTTTCTCTTATTTAGGAGGATAATTTACTGAACAGTATATTGACACCACATTTTAATTTTATATGAAAATTTTATTATATCATTCTGGAGACTATTAGAATTAACAATATTTAATGCCATTTGTCAGATTTATAAAACAAACTTCAAAAATTCTTTTCAAAGAAAATGTCCTTTTTGAAACTAGATAGATATTTTAGAATTTTTCATAGAGAAATTTTATTTAGTATTTTAAGTCATCATTTTTATTATTTTACTACTATTATGAATAATGTGAGGTGTGTAGAATATTAAGGCAGATTTTGAAAAAATAACATTA